AAAATATGCCTACCCATTTTGGTTTTTTATTTTTTTACTGAATGGTAAATTTTAATACCTAAGTAAATTTTGTTACCTCCGGATCAAAGAGCGCAGCAGAAAATAGGTTTTGTTTTTGGGTGCAATGGCGTCTCTTAAATTTGTTGAGCATTATCCGATCCCAAAATGCAACAAAACAATTTTGCTTATTTATGCCTCTTCTGAAAGAGAAATGTGCCTTGTCGCTGAAGAAAAGTTATATCGCCGCCCACTGCTTGTTGTTGTTCAAGCACCAAATCGACGTATGTACTGCTGTCTTCACTTGGCATGTGAATGGTGTAAGCCCAAGTGGAAGATATACCATAGTACAGTAAGAAAGTCCCAGCTCTTGAGAGCGCCGAGAAATAGTCACGTTCGCGCCAACAGTAATGACATTTGACATGGAATGAGCAAAACGATGATGCACACTGCTTACCATATATGTAACCGATAAAGTCTCTTCAAATTTCTTTAAAACTTCACCAATTACTTGGGTGTTGAAAGGTTATGTGCATCATAAACTCCGCTTAAACACATGACATGGCCAGATTTGAATTTTTTATTAGCTCACAAATGCCTAACTTTTAATGGAAACAAAATATTTTTGGTTTGACAGTTAAATTTGACAGTCGTCAACATACAGGTCCCATACTTATGAAACCACGAATTGGATAACCTTATATATGTACATATGTACTTACATAAGATTGAGGTGGTTAAGAATTTATTAACATTAAACTGTCAGTGATATTTATTTATTGGCATTCATAAATACTTCGGAAAGTTTTTCATTGATTAGCAACTTGTATTGTTGCATACATACACGTATAAAAACTATGGTATATCGGCTACATAGAATACTAATTCGCTGGAATTAATAAGTAAGTAAGTGTAAGCTTATTAAAATAAACTTAATAAATTAAATATAAAGGTAAATCGTGTTCAGAAAAACAAAGCAGTCATTATTAAGATGCGGTTTTGAAAAATGATAGCTAACTAACGGGTGGGCTATGGAAAAAATGTCTTCTAAAACTGTTATAAAAAAGGATTGATAAATATTTTTCAATGATTTTAACTTTTCGGAAAACCCGTCACGTTGAAACCACACATCGTCTATGTTATACTCTGTAAAAGTTGAAAGCGAATAATTTTTGAGCTTGGCATGGTAACGATCGATAGCTGCTTCATATATATATTTTTTTTAAGCTGTCCAATGCAACCGTGGAGCGTATTCCCCGCCAGGCAGTCAGTCGTTCGAGTTGTATTGGCTTTTCCATGCCGGTTTTATAGTGGCCGAGGTGAAAATGAGCTTAAGCGGAAAGGATGATCTGTAGGTAAAAATGTTCATCATCTGAGAAGTGATCTTGAGGGAAATCGAATCGGATATCGTATGAAGCATCAGTTCTTGGATCAACAGAATCACGAGGTCTTTTTGCAAAATTCTGCGCAAAAAAGTGTGGGAAATGTTTAAATCCTATGAACGCTGTCGAGTAGATGTTTATGGATGTTCGAGAGCACAGCGGAAATATTTTTAATACTTTTCATTTTCTTGTAGTGTAAACTTAACTTTTTCTTAAACCGCAAAGCATAAACTGAATATCTAAAACACATTGGGGATGTCATTGAAGATGTTAAAGCTCAGATGAGCCGTAGTTCAGGTAAGCAAACGGTAGATCACCCAGCTTGATTGATACTATGCTCAACTCACAAGGTGAATACAGCTATTTTGAATCATTATCGACTTAGCTAGTGGTCAGTACTGTAAGCCTATACCTTTCCCATACGTACATAATATTAAATAGATCATAGATGGACTAAATCTGCTTCATGATTTCTCGGTTGGATATAGTTTTTCCATCTGTTCTGTGCTATATGTTCGAATTCCAATTCAAAAATCTTCCTTTGGTAGCGTGCGCAGATTATAGAGATGACCTGCCAGCGTGCGTAAAGCCTATCTACAATTGTTGATGATGCTGAAATTGAACTGACGATTACGCCAGCAATGCCGCCGTGCTATGCGAGTATATGGTTGCTTTCTGTTGATATTTATAAGAGCTCTTCAGGTATTTGCTGTACCAAGTACTTCCGGTTAGAAAATACTAGCTAAGTTTGGTAGACCCAAAAAGACGCAGATTCGAAGATCTTTGCAGTTCACAAAGTGAGGCGAGCATGAGTGAATATTTCAGCGAATATCCACTTTTTTACTGTACTAGTTATGTAAAGAAACTAGTATGGTAAAGGGACGAAGGTTTAAAAGTCTTGTAACCGCTGAAGAGATTTTCGGCCGAGCTCCAATTTGTGGTATGAGTCTTGATGTTTTTTCCAACAAATGGTGGGATCTACAGTTTATCCTTATCTGTATCTGAAAGGTCGTAAGATCTGTATGTTTCATTTCAGCATTAGACTTAGAGGGCTTGACATTCCATGATGAGAGGCGACCGCAACTGACACTGCTAAAAACTCGGTTAAAGCTTCTATCTGCTTATTTTACTAAACTATCCGCAGACCTAGAAGACGCTCTCTTAGTTAAACGTTATGACTTTAGATTTTTCTCAAACTCTAATATAGATGTGGATCCCGTCAATAGAGGTTTTTATGATTCTGTTTACAAGCCGAGGCATCTCCTGTTCCTTAGCTAATTTGCTGTTTATGTATTCTGTCTACGTCGATGATTTCTTGATGCACTTGTGGCTGCCCGAGTATATTATTCAATGCTGTATAGCCCATAATTTTTATTTTAAAGTTAGTTTTACTTGATTATGCGTCAGATAAAGAAGTTACCAGTGCGTTTTAAAGCTGCGTAAAAAAATCAATATTTCTTTTAGATTTTTGTGCGGCTTGCGGCTCCAAGATATACATGAAAAATACACAGATTCACAGCTGATAAATAAGAATTAAAACATGTGTCCACATGCACGTATGTATGTGCATATGTATATATGTACATAAATTAACATAGAAAAGCCTCTTTCAAGTTTTTAAGTCACATTGATTGCAATCAATCTTGTTTACCGCATACAGTTTCACTCCAATCACATGAGAAGTGAAATTTTCATAATTTCTAATAACAAATCATGTGCAATAACAGTAGAGTAGACGTGAACATGCTGCGCATGCGCAAGTAAATAAGTTAAACCAGGTACAATGTAATAAAAGCAGTGAGATCAAATGGAGTGGATGAGATTAGGCTTTGCTGTAAAATCAATTACATTCGTATATACCTACATACATATGTGTATGTATTATATGTACATATGTATATATAGATTTCACGCATACGTACAGGAGAAAGTTTTTAAATATGCAATTTGTATAAAAATGTGCCGGTGCAATTAACTGCGATGACGCAAATGTGCAAATTTGCAAATGTGCTGGAACGGATTTGAGTCAGCAAAATGTTTTCCATGGGTAAATAAATAAACATCTACGTTTTTACATATGTACGTATGTATGTAGTCGGTAATGTATGTATGCTCATAATCACTATGATGGGGCAAAGAATGAGTGACAAACGATTACGAAAAAATATTTCCGAGAAAATCACAAAAAAGCTTATCTTTTGTAGTTGAATAGTTTTCATTTGAAAATATTTTTATGACTAATTAATAATGATATACATATGTATGTACATATACATTTTATATATGATATGTATGCACATATGTTTATATGCATATACGAGGTGTGATAATTAAGTCATGCGACTGATTAAATTGCCGCTATTGTGATTACCCTATGACCTTGATGGTCTCTTTCCCTTCTCCCGGCATTCTTCTTCTCTCCATTGAAATATTTTTCATCGCTCTAGCTTATTTAGTTCGCCTGCTGTGTCGTGTTGAGTAATAGTGTTTTCGTGGTGCAAATGGAAAAACGAAATCTAGAGCAACGCGTCGCGATACAATTTTTCGTAGCCCGCGATAAAGCATGCCTGTCGGAAGAGGCGACTAAAAGCAAATAGTTCACGCGACAGTCGGGTCTTTATACCGGAACGACCCGGATTTTTATCCGGCCAAGGGCTGTCACTCCCGCAACATTCCCCAAAAACTACTTTGGGGAATAATTTAGCGGTTACAACAACAACATGTAATTTTTCGACAAATTGGTCGAAACAGCTTCGGAAACATACGCTGAAATTGAAAAAAGTACATGGTGAGAGTGCTCTTAGCCGTGCCCAGGTATTTCGAAAGCATAAAGAGTTTAAGGAAAGCGAGGAAGACGAGGCTATAATCCGTGCAGATCGGCGTTTAACAGCTCGACTTTCGCCAAATACTCGAAAGACTGCGAAAACGAGTCGACATTGTGCGCCCAGACATTGCTCGTAACTGGATCCTTCATGACGACAACACGCCGTAGCACACCGCCCTCAGCGTGTTCCAGTATTTGGCCTCTAAAGGCCATTCAGGAGACGGACATCCCAGTCGAAGCTTTCCAGAAATGTTACGAAGCATGGAAAAGGCGCTGGAATCGTTGTATAGCTGCCCAAGGGGTTTACTTTGAAGGGGATGGCAGAGTTGTAGAATAATTTTGAAACATACGGTTTTTATGTACAATAATAAGTCTCATTACTTAATTGTCACACCTCGTACCACATACTATTTAACTTATCTATAGTTTCCATTTACCAATCATCAATTCAATACGAAATAAATTTATGGTTCATATTTTTCGTTTCCTGCTAAATGAATAGGTATATTGAATATACACAATAAAACAGCTGCACAAGTAGAAAAATATTTAAATAGTCAGACAGACCGCACAGTTCGACTATAAACAATGTTATGCTTTTATTTATATTCCCAAAGTCAATTGAGCAATTCAACTAACCAATGTTTATGCATTAACACAAATCCGATTGTAAAAAGTTCTGCACAAATCTCTCTCATAAATCAAATGTTTAATTTTTTTACTCTCACTCAAATATAAATACATATGTACATACATATAAGTATACTCACATACGTTTTCTTACTTACTCTGCACAGGTGGCTTGTACAAATTGGAAACGTGTACTAATGATCCTCACTGGAAATTGGCAGAATGGTACTGATCCATTACAAATACCTGGCTCTTTGGCACATTCGGTGGGCATGTTCCAAAAGCTCTATTCGCTCAGCGCTGAGGAACGCGCTCTAGTACTCTCAGAGTATACACGCTTTATTTTGGTGCGACACCCGTTGGAGCGTCTACTGTCCGCTTATCGTAACAAATTGGAAGGTGATTCGGCGAGCGCACGCTACTTTCAGTCGCGTGTTGGCCGTCAAATTGTGAAGACATTTCGTGTTGGCGCCAATAATCGTTCACTGGAACATGGCGATGATGTGAGCTTTGCAGAGTTTGTACAATATCTGTTAACACCAGATGTTAGTCGCACCAACCAGTCTTACAATGAACATTGGGAACCTATCTCGAATCTCTGCAATCCATGTGTACTGAAATACAACGTCATAGGTTTGTGTTTACTTAATGATTTCCACTTCAATTCCAATCTTTAATGATTAAAATAATTTCGTTTTACAGGTAAATATGAAACTCTACTGGATGACTCCTCATTGGCATTGCATTTAGCTGGTGCAAACAATCTTACATTCCCCACTGGTCACAAGCCGTCCAGTACACGTGCACATTTGCGTTCGTACTTTGATCCGTTGCCCATAAGCGCTATACGACGGCTTTATGAAATATATATGGAAGATTTTCGCCTGTTCGAGTATGGCTTGGAGGACGTACTTGGCTTTGAGTTTGGTTGAAAGAATTTGGTCTTCTTAGATGCATCGATGATATTTTAATACATAGCTCTTATGGATTTTTTGTACCATTTGAACTAAATATTATTTACCACAATGACGCTTTACTTTTATTAATTGTGATGATGAAAATCAATATATAAGTATGTACATACATAATTTTAATAATAATTTTTCTTTTTAAGTTGTTTTTATGGCTAGTTTTACAATCGTTGCGTACAAATTCAATAGGCATGTAGTAGTATGTATAAGGTTAAGTGATTGTAAATTAATTTATTTAAATGAATTTGTGGATTTTTATTGTTTGGCTGATATTATTCATATTAGGATTTTGAATTTTTGGTTTATAAGAATAAAGTAAGCGTTTTAAGAGAATAAAGAAAAATATAAAATATTTTAATTTTATTTAAATTCATTAACAAGTTTTCGGTTCAGCAAAGGAGATGAGCCAGTCACTACAACCAAGACATTGGCAAGTCTGAAGTAATTAGTTAAAATAGCAAATGGATGGATTCACGCTATACAAAGGGGAAGTGTGCTTCTGAAAAGAATTTGTTGTCGCTGAAAAATGGACATATGCGTTAAAGGATATCACAATGAATTCATAGACGTGATCCGCTCTGATTTTAGGATTTTAATGATATACATTTTTTTTTAGGCAAACTTATTTTCGTAGGTATTGGGGGCAAAAAGTGGGATTTCGAACATTATAAAAGTAAATATCTCAAGAAATTATACACCAAATTTTATAAATTCGGTTTATAACTTTTCACAATATATCGTTTTTTAACTTTCGAAAATTCCCCTCTCCCCTCCCAATTGCAGCAATGTACTTCTTCATACAATTAGCATCATAAACCACCTTCTCTGATAATCCTTCCTGACAACGCTATAAAGTCTCATGCGGAATAAAGTGTAGTGAAACTATTTGGTTACTTCATATTTTCTATTTCGGTGTTTTAAATAAGTTGGGTCGGGATATGTGTACAGCGTAAGAACCACCAAATATTTGAAATAAGGCACAAATATTTACAATTAATTTATGACTCAATTAAACGAAATTCGTATGTGCATAGTTATGTTTAATTGTATTCCATTGCATTCGAACGTTTATACATTATAGACGTTTTTAAAAATTACAAGCATTTAACATACTTGAACTTTGCTTTTAAAACAATATGTACTTATGTATGTACTACATCTTCATTGACATTGATAAATAAAATTGTCGGCATAAACAACTACATTAGCTGCATAACAGATTTCACTTTTTGCGTTGAAAAATTCCACATATGTACCTACCTATATGTGCATATTTATTAATAGACAAACACGTCCAGACGTTTGGCAGATATTCCATTTTATTTTGTGATGTTCAACATCTTAATTATTTTAAAACCACAAAGGGTTATATTAACAAAAAAAATAAAACATTTTCAGACTTAGTTATCGTATCAATTTCATCGTCCATTCAAACACAGATATTCAATTAGTCATAATAGCGTTGCTTCATTGCTCTATATTTTTTAAGAGAATAGAGCGCTTCTACTTCTTTTGCAACATAACGTCCATGTGCAACCAAAGCCATAATCTTTTTTGGATCGGTCTCATCTTTGTGCTTTAGAAATGCATCACGTATTTGTTGTCGGAACTTCTGCGGTCCATTTGGGCCAGGGTATTCCCTCCCCAAATATTGCAACTGCAATTGTGCAAAAATAGCATTAGCGTAAATACATAATTAAAGGGAATTACTTCACTTACATGCTTATATAGACCAATTACTTTCGATCTTATCTCTGATGACATTACCAACGAAAAATTACTGCTCCCAACAAAAATTTGATCTTTGAATTGCTTCTCAAATATATAAGAGGAATTGATTACTTTCCGGAAAGAAAATCAACTAGAAATTCAGCGTTGCCACCAGTAGACCTGACAATTTATTTAACTGAATCTAGAAAATGTCTACAAATTTTCATCAAATATGTTTGAACTGTTAAATAAAGATATTTATGTTTTTGACTTCTGTAAATTTTTAAATATTAGCAACTGAATTGCACAAGAAACAAATAACAATAAGTTGATTCAATTCACACATTTTATAAATACGTGGCAGCTGCATGTTTCACAAAGTCAGATAATTTAGAAAAAAAAACTTATCGATAACAATCGAACGATGTATACCCAACAAGATTTCTTAGTTACTAAATATAATATAATTTTGTAAATGATATATTGTATTAGAATGTTCTTTAAAACTAGTTAAAAATTCCTAATCAATTACGAGAACAACAACAGAAATGGAGCAATTAATATTTCGATAGCTGGATAGGTGTTGTTCAACTTAAAAATAATAATAATTTCTGGCACTGAGCGTCCACGTCTAATATATTCTGGAAAATGCCCATTTAAAAATCGTAAGCCATAGATGATACATAAAATATAGACAAAGTCTATCAATACATCTTTTAGCATCGATCATTGTCTCTAGATCCCTAGGACCAGATTGTGCTTGTTGTCTTTTCCGCGGGCACTCTGCTGGGTGTCGACTTCCACCTCAGACAGTGTTAGATCTTCCATTAGTCCTAAAAAAATTAAGTTTGCAAATACAAATACGTCAAGCATAATGCGACTTGAAAAGTCTGGAACCCTTTCTGTTGTAAGGTAGGGAAAGCAAATAATAAGTGCTAAACAATGTGTAGACGCCTTTTTGAGATTGGAGTGTCGTTCAATAAAGCCTTTCCTAATAAGTCTCCTTATTATGCGTCATCCTAAGACATTAGGCAAACAAAATGTTTATTATCAATTTCACGCGGGATTTAGCCAAGAACGACAGTTTGGTTTTGGGAAGAAAACTAATGAGGAGTTCCTAATTAGCATTATTGACGTTACTTATGTTGTTTACTGAAAAGTCTACCACTGTCAGGGACGCTTAGAGAATACATCTTCAATTCGAACTGAATGGACATGTGTTCCGCAAGGGATCTACGAGCGGTTAGGTGATTTACGTTTTATGCTCCAGCACTAATAAGTTGAGTTTACAGGCTAAACTTTATTTAAATACCAGTTCAATTTTACTGAGCTACTTACCTCTATCGCAGCATTTAACTTAGCTGTCTATATTTTACGAGAAGTTATGTAAATCGACACGTATGCTCTCATCAAAATTTTTTAAAGCAACACTGTAGAATATTTTTCTGCCCAATAACTTTTCAAAAATCTATTACATTAAGCAATAATTGAATTTAAGATTTTAAGAAATTAATTGGAAATTCAAATCAGCCCAATGGACAGGCTTAAATGCTCATTCACATTAAACCTGTATCGCATTGCTTAATAACTTTATAAAACATAACAAAATAAAAATTGACCAATATGAAAGAAATCATATCTGTCAAAGCCAAACTCTGAGGTAAGACGAGACAAACTCTTAAGCCGATGACAAAAAGGTCTATTCCGCGTTGCGTGACATTTCTAACCTTGCTAGAAAAGCGGAAAACTGTCAGATTTTCACCTTAACAGTTAAAATTTCATTTGCACGAAAGCTTGCTGGTGGTAATATCTTTGTAATTTGAAGATTAGATGGAAATTAAATGATTAAGGGAATGGAAACTGTTCCATTTTTCAATTTCTATCCTCTTCATCGCTATTAGAGCAACAGCGAATTTTGCTTGGTTGATGCCATTTTACAAATGCTAATCAATTATAGTGGCGACTTAAAAAAAAAGCTGCTAATCAAACTGCATGCAATTAGCTGTCAAAGTGACAGTTGGTAAGAAATCCTTAATGTAGAGATGTGGGGTTAAAAGCGAAGTTTCGTAGAGTTGCATGTATACATGTTATTGTGTTAACGGCACAAAAGTTTTATCTGTCATTGGTTTTATATTATCAGCGTTCCATAAGCGTCAGATTGTGAAACTTCGTGTAATTGCATGTATTCACTTCACACGTCAAAATCAATACGTGAAACAACGCGTCGCAAAATTTATATCTGCAATCATCTTTAGGAACGGCGCGATGGTTATCGATTGGTGTTTACAAAAGAAAAGACACAGTAAGAAATATTTTATAGTTTTGAACATTTTTATTTTAACTTATATAAATTTTGTATTTATTTAACTACAGATGTTCTTTTGTTTTATTTCATTTCATTTCAGTTTATTCAAGTTCTTTTGTTTTAATACATTTTTTAATACTTAAATTCATCATAATATCTGCACATTACTCAATGTAATTAAATAAAGTTTTGTTTTCTTTAATTACAGTTGCACTAAATATATGAATAAACATTATTCCTGCCCATATATGTATAATATTATCATATCTTCGCCAGAGACTAACACTTTCGTTATGTCATTCATATATGATTCATTTCAATAATTAAAATTTTAAACTTTATACTTTAATTTATATATCTTTGTAAATGTTTATACATTAATTAGGTATATATGTTTGTGAAATATGTATGACGCTTAGTCTGGTGGATAATGTATAATTTGATTTCTTGAATTCAATCATAATGAAATATTTCACTTAATAATGGTACACATAAAAATGTTTGGCATTTAATTAAGCAATTTATATAACATATTTAAGAATATATTTGAAACTTGCCAATTTTATTCAAATAAACTTGCGTGAGAATATAAAAAAATAATTTTAAATTAAAAAAGTAAAATTTAATCAAAGAGAAAATGTTATTTTTAATTGAGAATTATTGTTGCACATTCTCAATGGATGAGGATCGCTATAGAAGTGTCACACTTGTTCCACTAATCACACCCATATTAAATGTTTTTAAGTATATTTAATCGTTTTACTACTTCACATTACCTTAATTTCCTATATTTTGTCTCAAACTTTTATTCTACTGAAACTTTGTGCATCCCCTTACGTACATACATACGTGCACAACTATGTTTTGCATTTCATATGCCAGTATGTATTTGTGTGTATGTATTTATATTATGTATATCAATTTTATTTTGCTGATTAATTCATACTATGCGGTGCTGATGATTATGTATAGATGATTATTATTTGTAAGCCATTTCCACATAGGTGGTGTATTTGATATTTTTCATTTTAGTTTAGCATTCGTCCATGAACATACATATATTTTTTTTTCGCTGTTTGCTCTTTGCCATTTGCTTAGCTTTTTTATATTATATTATATGTTATTATTTATTTTTAATTTTATATAAAATATAAAATTGATATTCTTCTATAGTTTTGTAAAAATTTTCGCCATATGCTTTACTGTTCTATGTGATGAAAATCCGCCCCTCCCCCCAACTATTTTTATTAGCTGTCCCTCTCTTACCAACAACTCTGAATAGACCCTCTCTATAATAAAGCTTTCGAGTGACTGCAATAGGGTCTATATGTATGTGTTTATTGAAATAATAGTCATGCGGCATAAAAATATTTCAAAATGAGAGCGCTCTATTTTGGTCCGGTAGCAAGTCTGTGCATTATTTTTGGGTTTGCGATTTTTCTAGTTATTTCACTTATTTATGCAATTTGATTATATTTTCATTCGTTTATTTTGCCTAGATGAGCAGTTTTATGGTTGTAAGTATATACTACTATGTATGTATGTATGTATGTATGTATGTATGTACATATTTTATTTATTAATGTATATATAATTTTTTAAGTGCTCTAAATATATGTAAATGTCTACTTATGTAAGTAGGAATTATTTTTTATTTTCTACTGTCATTTACTAGCCGATAACTCAGTTAGCTATATGTAACTGTACTTGTTTCTTTCGATCTTTCAAAAAGTGAGAGTGAGAGAGAGGTACTTAAGTTTGTTCGTAGAGATGGAAGTTTAACTTAGCAAATTTCACTATTTTATTAAAATACATACTTTGTGGGTGAAATTCATTTGTATGTATGTTGTTTGAATGTCCTGTCATTTAAGTGTCATATGAATTGAAATAAAACAAAATAAATATTTATTTTTTGTTCCATTTGCATTTTTTATTATATTAGTATTTTTGTAGTTGTTGTTAATAATATGTATGCCACTTAGCAGTCAAAATTAACAATTTTTTATTAAATAGTATTTTATCAGATTTTTATTTATTTATTTTTCTTTTTGGTAAATATGTAGATATTGTTTATATATATATATATATAGTGTTTATATATATATTTATATCCTTATTTCTTTTTGTTTGCTATTGATTTTTCATTATTAATATGTATGTATAGTGCAACTATATATAATCTATATTTTTTTGTTTTTCTTTTTACTTTTCTTAGCATTTCTTTTTGAGTTTTTACACCGTCATCTACAAGTGCATATGCAACTGCAAACATTTCCATTCATTACGTGATATTATGCGAAATTCGGGCAACAGATCGGTATAGTCGTACTCTGTATATAGCAGAGTTTTCTTTAGCTGTTGATACATACATACATAAACTTTTCGAAATCATATGTTTATTTGTATGCAAGTGTAACCGTTGTATTAAATGTATGTTATATCATTATTTATTATATTGTGTATTTAAATAGTTTTCGCTAGTTTGGTTTTGTGTGTTGACCTTAAATTTATTTGTACAGGACAAAAACATATACAATATAAATTTTCATTATTGTAGTACTAGTTAAAAATTAATAGTGGTGGCCTCATCTAATAATGATTACTTTGTTCCTTTCTAATTTAATTTGCTTGGTCACTTAAAATAAATTTCAATTTTTTTGGAACTATCCAAACGGACATATTTGAAAAAATTAAAATAAATTTCAATTTTTTTTTCTCATATTCGTTTTGTTTTCTTCCTTTGGTATCATTGAATCAATATATATACATACAATTGTATACATACATATATTGTTTTGAATTTTTCGCATGTTCTGTAGTCTGCCTTATTAATTTATTCTTAATTTAGTATAAATTAGCAGTAATAACTATTATTGTTCTTAATATGTCTTTTTAAATATTTTAATAATAGTATTAATAATGAGTTTTCAAATACTAAACGACTATTATCATTCATATATTTATATATATATTTTTTTTTGTTTAATTATAAACTCCAACGATTTTTGTACATAAATAAAAGCAGCATACTGTACATTTATCGATTATCGCTCTAATATGTGGTTAACACGTAAACAATTTGTTGAATGTAATGAAAAAGCTTTGATATAAATAAAAATAGCATATCACATTATAAATAAATTTAATAATTTAGTAAATGAGACGAAAAAATGTTCATAAATTTATGATTAAAATATAAACAATAATAATTAATATAATTAATTTTGCAAGGCTTTATTCTTAGTAAAAGCTAAAAAACAAGTAAATTAAAAAATAAATAAATAAATACATAAATAAACAATTAAATAAATAAATAAATAGATAAATAAATAAATAAATAAATAGATAAATAAATAGATAAATAAGTATATATATATATAAATATATCAATAAATAAAAATAAATAAATATATAAAAAAAAATAAATTAATTAATAAATGTAAATAAATAAATAAATAAGCGAATTAATACACAATTAAACATATAAATAAGGAATTATAAGCAAATAGATAAGGACATAGTAAATAAATCAATGCACAGTTAAATAAATATATTAACTAATCCACAACTAAATAGACAAATAATTAAAATATATAAATAGATGAATAAATAAACATATATAGAATAAAAAACAAATACATACACATACCTAAAAAATCTATAAGTAAAGAATGATATATGATTTTTTTCTCGAATAGATTTAAATTATTTTTTATGGCTTCCACGAACCGTTGATATCTGTTTTTTTTTGCAATCACGCGTGAAGTTAAACTTTCTTTAGTACATTTCTTTTAGCTGGCTCAATTAAATGTGCATATATACACGTATATATATATATGTATATTAGTTTTTTTTTATTTAATTTCTTTAATATATAAGTAATAATTTTTCTAAAGAGGTTACACTTACATAACCATACATACAAATATATATGAAATGCTATCATGTAATATACATTCATACTTAACTATGTAAGTTTGTATGTAGGTGTACTTAAATTTAAGTAAACTAAAAGTTAATTATAAAAGAGAATGTGGTGGCTAATAATGAAATACAATTTCTATAAATTTATGCTTTTTTATTTATTTTTAATTTTTTAATTTCATTTGAAAAAAATTCATGATACATAAATTACTGATTGATTTCTTTTTAAATATTTATTGTACAATTGTAATGAAAATGGACATACATACGATTAACGCGCTATAAACAATTGGATTTTCAACAAAAAAGTTTACTTTTTTTTAATTTTAAATGTTAGCAATTTGTAATGTCGTAACTTTAAAAAGAATCGCCGAACTCACGCAATTGTTATCGATAAAAAGTCACCTGCCGGCGATACTCTCACCATTTGCTTTTATTTCAATTGCATTTTATAATTTTTTGCTCATGCACAAATTTTCAAAAGTTGAAGTGCGGTTTGGTGTAAAAGCATATGAAATAATTGAATTCCCTCTCTTTTTTTGGTTCTATTGCTGATCAATTGCTACAAATGAATTGCTGCATTCAGCATGTCGGTGTTCTAAATTTCCGGGCGAATGTGGCGTGGGAGGGAAAATGAAACAATTCTCATTGTTATGAGGAATCAAAGTAATTGCTTTCTTTTTGAGAGTTAAGTTTAAAGAAAAAGTGTGTGCTTATGACAGCAATAGTGCATGCACACAAAGTAAAGTATTTCGACACATAAATACGTAAGCAACCAAACTTACTTTTAGGTTTGCTCCACTGACGCTTTGATATGAAACTAAGTCGGAAGTGTGTTAAAATATTTAATTTTAATTTAAAAAGTTAAAAGCCTACTATAAAGCGCTTATTAATTAAATACAACATAATATTTAGACAACTAGTTGCCATTGGTACTGTTGATAGAAGTTAAAAAAAGTGGTCATCGCTGTCTGTACACCTAAAGTCAGTTAAAGTGAGGCATAAGGAAAAAGTTAAATAGAAAATCCAATTAGTTTATGCTTGTTTGTGATTTTATTCTATGTATTGTAGTTTAAATGATAAATTACATTTTTTTTTAGTTTTTTTTTTCAATGAACATAAACTTATCAGCCCAAGCGCTCGCTCTCGCTTTTACAGTTTTAATATAAATATTATTTCTTTTACTTATTTTGAATTGAAAATCTCATCATTTACTTATATATAGCATAAATTTTTAACAACTTTATTATATAATTAAAATTTTTAATACAATTTACATTACAATTCGAATAGAGACAAAAAATGGCAAACAGTATTAAGAATTGAAACTTTTTTATTTATTGTTTACAATTTTTGTATTTTATACTTTTATTTTGTTTGGTTGTTTTTTTTTTTTTGGACTTAGATTTTTACATAGTTGCAATCATGTTTGGTTTTTGTAAATTTTAAGCTAATTTTCGAAACATCATTTTCTATTTTAAATATATGTATTTAAATTAGCTAAAATATATATGTACTATATATAAGATAATAAATAAAAATAAATACCTTTCCTTATTAAAAAAAAAAAAAGTCGAGCTGAAAGCAGACAGAAAACAAACTACTTTGGAGAGAGCATAAAGTTGAGGCATTTCAAAATACATACATACATATGTATATAGTACAATATGGTCACAATAGATATAATACGATTCAATACAATAGAATACAATACAATATAATATAATATTATTACATTGCATATAGTTTTATATAAACATTTTAACAGGAAGTCAACAGTTACTGAGTTTATTTATTTATTTATTTATTTATTTTTATATATGTATGTTTTTTTGTCTTTAACAAATATAAGTGCCATACATAGTATATATGTATATGTATGTTTGTATGAATTTTCGTAAGTGTTCCAACATTTGTCTAAGTAGAGTTTTTTTTTTGTGTTTTTGTATATGTTTTTGTGCCCGACCCGCCTCGCTGCACTGACTTTTTTCTCGAAATTTCTCTAGTTAGTTTTTTTTTCACGGTGTATCTATTTGATTGTTGGTTACGAGGTCAAAGTCGAGGCCTAAAATAACAGTTCTTTTTTTACTTTTGTATTCTTGCGTTTTCGGAATATCATATTTAACATATTTAAAAACAAAAAAAAAAAAAAAAGAAATAAAAATAGCTTTCATAATTTTGCGTATATGTATTGTTTACAATATATTTAGTATGTTTTATGAATATTCTTCTGTTCATTTAATAAGACAATTATTTTTTTCGTGTAATCCAGTTACTCTCTTTTCTTATATGGAACTAATGATGAGCGTTTGCCTGTTGTTCTTGTTGTTTGGTATATTGTTGTACACTGTGTATGTATATATTCTGATTTTATAAACGAATTAATTGGTTTCTTGCTGTTGCTCTTATTGTTGTTGTTGTTGTTGTTGACGGCATGTTGTATTGTGTTCAATTACGCTAAATAACATCTCTGCGGCTTCATTCGCATTATGGTTAATTTATAATACATAAATACAAGTAATGTAATTATGTATGTATTTTAGGTATACACGTATGTATGTCAGTTGATTTATTTTGCGATTAGTACATGAATTCATTGTATTGATGAATAACTGTGGCAAATTTTTAATCCACACACACACACACATGAAATGTTTTAGAAATGTATTTAATAATATATATATTATATATATTTATATGTACACTACATATGTTTGTTAATATATTTATGTAGCTTCATTACCTTGATCTTCACGTGTCACGTTTTCTACCGCTCCTACTCATGTCACGCTCATGCTCTACGTGTGAACCCTAAACCACCACTTTACTTCATATTCTTCAATATCTCATCGGTTTCTTCGGGATCCTTGAGTGTGTGCCATTGAGCAATCGGTCGTCGTGGTGAAGCCAACATATCAGACCAATGACGCAATTCCGTGCCAGTAGCCATACAGCCGAGTATGCAGCGTCCAATGGGCTCAGATGTACCAATACGATCGTAATCCACAACAGTAACGACAAGACAGATTTTCTGATAAGAAATATCCAGTAAATGAGTGAGCAACAAATTCGGCGGCACAGTATGGGGTGTGAATATGTGGAGAGCGTATAAAATAAAAGAGATTAGTAAGTAACAGTAATAATATATATTGGTTTTTTTTTCGGTTTAGTAAAATTTACTGCATCTTGTGCGGTCACAGTTTCATCATGTTTATTTTGTTTATTTCTTAGGTACAAATACTTTATGTATGTAGTTTAAAATAAATACAACAAAAAAAAATACTGCTTTTATTTTAATTAAATTTTTTTATTTACTTTCGTTGAATTTGTTTGAGAAGTTTGTTGAAGAAGATGATGTTTTCTTGTTTGTAGTTGTTATCTTAAAAAATATGTAATTGGCTTTTTGCATGATTAGCCGAGTGAGTGAGCAAAGAAGTGGGGGGAGTTGTGCACCACAAACAATTATTTGAGTTGAACTTTTTCTTTGGGTTTTGTGCGCTTTTGCAGGTTGGTTGGTTGGTTTTAGGGGGGGGGGGAGTGGGGGATGGTGGTTGTTTCAAAAATAGGCACAATTCAAAAATTTTTAATACTAATTAACTACAAATACTGCTATTTTAATAACAACAAGAACATTTCATTTCTCAATTACAGGAATATTCATCAAAATCAAATGCGCAATCATTGAATGTTTCACTACGAATTGAGCTAAGTGCGTGTAGCATTAAATTTTCAAACTTTTCATTTACTTTTTAAGTTGAATAACTGTTATTGCTATACAAAGTAAAAATTTTAGTTGAATACATTTTTATTTTATTTATTTATTTTTAAAAATGAAGTAAGTATTTGCATTTATTTATCGGTTATATCTTTGGTTTGCACTACAAAAAAAAAAAATTAAATATATATATGTTTTAATATGAAACTCCACAACAGTTTTTTCAGGTTTTGTGATTTTCGGCAATTCCATACGAAACTTTACAGCCAAAATGTACGCTAATTTTATCTGTATCTCAGTGAATTTAGCACCAAGAGGCGACTTCTATCATTAACCTGCAATAACCTCACAGTCTATAACTATCACACACCCATATTTCGATTTAATAACTATTTATTTATTTCTTCCGTATATTAAAGTGGACAACCCCATCGATATACTGGCACTGTAGGAGGGTCTATATTTTACACAGCATCGGAGTTGCTCAGTCTAACTTATAGCAGCTTTAGAAATCGTTATTTTACACATTAGAGCCGGCACTAAGCGACAAATCAGTTTCCAATTCGACTACGATTCAGAAGGTCAGTATAGCTCTAAATTGACTAAGAATATGAATTTTACCAGCACACAAAAAAAACAAATTGCTACAACAGACGGACATGTTTTCGACGCCTGACGTGTCATATCAATATCGAGTAAATTCCGTAAAAATAGCAAAACTTGGTTGATTCGGTGCTAAAAGAAATTTATAGATCTAAAGAAAGCATAACTTTCATGCATTGTACTTCAATCCGGTGAATACTAATCCAAAGCGATTCTTGATTTGGATTTTAGAATTCTTAATTTAAAAATGACAACCTATATTCGTTAGTTAATTATTAAGTGAATGTATTTCACTAATATTTGTCGTTAAATTATTAGAATTCGACGTTAATAAAACTATTAATTTAAAGTAATTTAAAATAAATTTATCTAATACATTTTCGAAAAATTATCGATTACAATATTATCGTACTGACACCTACCAGAACTAAGCTCGAAACAGCTGTTTGTCATTAAAGTCTAAAACTTCTAAGAAAAACTGAGAATTCGACAACTTTTTGGCATTCTGGGTTGTGGCTGCGTGGGCGGAGTGCACTAATTTAAACGCAGTGTACCTTAAAAGACTTTTGTGGAGTTCTATTTTATTCAACTCAAGCCTCGAAAACGTAGTTATTTTTGCGAATAATTCTTATAGTTTCAAACAAAGCTGATGTCAAGAAAAACTAACGAAACGTGTGATAGAAACTTCATATTTTAATTCAAAAGTGGAATCTGCTGAAATCATTTGAAAAATTCTAACGGGATATTTATGTATATATTTATATAATAATAATAAGCCAATTTTCGTCGAATTTATTCTGAGCAGCCAGTTCTTTACAAAATTAATGCCACGCTACAGCACTAACTCGAGTTGATGGGAAATTGCTTTAATGCCTTGTTCGTTGTTGTTAAAAGAATTTAGATTAGAAATAAATATTCAAAGAAAAATTTTCTGAGATCTCGGCCATTCTAAGGGGTGTTTGTTTAAACATGCGGTTTTTAAGAAGAAATAAAAGCATATAATTTACTATTATGTCTAAGAATTTAGCTTTATTATAAAAACAAGGTTTTGCCTTTATGCTTGAAAAATGATTTCGAGCAATCGAATAAATTCCAGGCAAGATACCCAATTTTCTACTACTTTTTGCAGTTATTAGAGACGCATGTCAGTAATAAGGCGCGGAATATTCTCTTCCAAAGCGTCAAGCATTCACATAACGCCACAAAAAATGGAATGTACTCATTCGGGTCTTCTTCAATACTCTGCTCTACAGCAGAAATAGCGTCTTCGGTATGCACTGTACGACATCTCTGAGAGTGCGTATTATCCACTAGAGCAAAGGTGTTGCGAAACCGTTTTCAAGAGTTGCCCGAATTATTTGCGATTCTGCTGCAAATGTTGTTCCGGAATAATTCTGTTCATTATGACCAGCTCCGAAAAAAGGTATTGCCTGTAAAAACACCCTTCGCTGTAATGCTTATGGAGACAGCGCACAGGTCTTTCAAAAATGATGGGCCATCTTGTTTCAGCGAGACGTTTTCTCATAAAAGTCGATAACGGTATTTTTAATACAATAGTTTGCCCATCAGCTTTTCATAATTTTAAATTTAAAAAAATTGCTATCCATTTCGATAAAACTATCAATAAGAATGGAGGATAGACCAATTGGTAATTTCTAGGGTAAACTGATTTTCGATATTTTTTCATTTGACAGATTTTATATGATTGAAATCGTAATATTCATACCGAAAGCAAGTTTTTGCTAATGATCAGTTTTATGTCAAACAATCCCAAAGGGGAATAATTTAGAATTGTTCATTAATTCAAAATCATAAACTCGTGTTTGTGGCCCAACGTGAAAGTAGAGAATTTTCCATTTCGTGGTTTCAAAGGTACAGGACTTGTTTTTGACATCTGTCAAACTTAACTGTCGAAAAAAACATGTTTTGTTGTAGTTAAAATTCAGTCTTTTATGAAAATGGATGGATGAATTTTAGAGAAATTTAAAAAGACTGTAACGGTAACAGGTTTTGTGAGTTCGCCGTTTGGGGCCAGAAAAAAAGCATTGGACGGCGTTTTTTTGATTTCGATTTTCTTCTTCCTGTGATGACACATTTTTCACTCGAAGGCCACGTAAATAAGCAAATAATGAAGAGAGACCATGACATCGAAAAAACTGTCTGTTGTGCTTTTTGGTCCGGAGGAGTGAGTGAACCTTAATTCTTTGAAAACGCGCGTACTCTCTCGTCTTGGTGATGGCGATTTGACAACGCTGGACTTTTTTTCGTGAGGCTACGCAAAATACCGTGCTTATGCGGATAAACTTTTAATATCTGATCACTTGAAAACTAATATTTGACAATTTATGACTGAGATACCGCCCAATATGTGCCGTAAAGTGATCGAAAATTGCCTCAAAGTTCGATCGAAGTTTTCAAAAACTTGCGCTGCGGCCGTTAGAGTGACGTATTGTTTCACATATAATGCCAAGGTTCAGAGTTCATAATAAAAAAGCAATATACTGAAAAAAGAAAATCGAAATGCATTTTATTTACATTTATTTTCGAAACCACAAAATGAATTACTCTGTAAAAAGTGAAACACGATAGCTGCCTTAAACGTTGACAAAATTGCAATTTCGCGTTATTGAGAATTTTTAAACCCAAATTTTTTGACAGTACTTTGGCGCTTGAGTGACGAATGATAAACTTTTATTGTTTAGATAAATACGAATTGCTTTCGAAACATATTAGAAAAAATTAAACTTTCAGATTGAAATTTGTTTAACAAAACATCGCTAATTGATGAAGCACACATACCTAGAAAGAATTTAAGGGGTTTCCAATAAGAATGGTTATTTTGAATAGCCTAATATTCCGGTAGATGTCACATTTGAAGCTGTCATTTTTTGACATTTGTCAAGTAAAAACTACGTTAGTAATTAATATTGAACGTTACATGCTTTACCGCATTGAAATTATTAAAATTTACTATAAAAATTTCATCGAAAAATCATCTTCATAGCTGAGGCTCATTTCCACTTCGATGACTACGTAAATAAGTAATTTTGTCGCATCAGGAGCTCAGAAAACTCAGGATTTATTGTTGAAAAGCCTTTCCATCCTCAACGTCTAACTGTTTGGTATCGTGTGTGCATTGAACCTTGCTTTTTCGAAAATGAATGGTTAGAGAGATGATTTTATGCCCGCAATTGGATAACGTTTAATTTCAACAAGACGGCGAAACGTACCGCACAAGCATGAACTCATTAATCTTTTAAGTGAAAAGTTTTTTTTTTTAAATATAAAAATAACACCTCTTATGGGAAAACCCTGTATATATGTCATATTAAACTTTAAATTTCAAATGTAGATATTTTTCAACTCTTCGAATGTTTTAAATATGGATTAAGAAGAATATACAATTTAATTAAAATTTAATTAAAATTCCATAGTAAAAATCTTATAGAATATTTTGAAAGTATTTCAAATTATTTAAACAGTCTAAATAATATTTGGCAATTACTTTAAGCTGATTTAAAAAATGACTATATTAATTAAAGCTCAAGCGGAAAATATAGAGCAAATACTTAGCTTTTTCAAAATTTTACTAATTCAGCAGCGTTTTTTTCTTAATGTAAAAAATTACATGCAAATAAAACCAAAAAAAAAAAATAATAATAATAATAATGTTAAGCAGAGGATTTTAGTAACCTAATTTTTGCTAGACTATT